TGGCAAGGTTGTATTATTTACATAAAGAAATGTTTAAACTTGTTAAAAACATCAGGCTGTCTTCCACAGACACCAAACTTTTTATCCTGTGGGATCAGATGCAGATGGAAGTTTAGTGCTGGAGCATATTTTACCTCCAGCCACTTTGATGCGACGTATGCAGCAGCAGGTTGGTGCCAGTACCTTCTCTCTCTACTCAGAACTACCAGTCGTTGGATATACAGCTGAAGCTGAGTGACCCTCGTCCAGCGGAGTCCACAGAGCTTAACCTCAGCAGCTCTGAGTGTCCGGGACTGTGTGTGCATGCGTTACAGAAGTGTAGGAGGCGCCGTAGAAGTCATTGCTGGCAAAGATTTACCGCTGCCTCAGTCTAACATAAATATTCATTAGTGACCTTGTTACTTTGCTGCTCATAAATAATCTGTTTCAACAGTCGTTTGTATATTCTAATAACCCAGAAGCAATACTTACACTTAGATAATTTTAACCACATTTAGTGCTTAAATAAATAATAACAGGGCCAGTTTAATGCCAGTTTAAAACACTAGGATAGATTAATGAGGCGGGATTGTTAAAGAAATAAACGTATAGGACAAAGAAATACTGAATAATGATGAACTGTTGTTTGTGTTGCTATAGATCACTGGTCTGTGTGTTATATATCTACTGATACGCCAGACTAAAGTGAGAGTGATGATCAAAGACGTCGATGCACCAACACAAAGTGGTCCATAAATACACATTTGGAAGGAGAGTCACTTTTTTTACCCTTTAATATCTAGTTATAGGCTGTTGGTTGGACTGTTGCATCACTCAGACCCTTTGAATCTGATGCAATGCAAACTTTAATATAATAAAAAAAATCTACCAACAGATCCTTAGATATTTTCTAAGGATGGTGAGGGATATAGAGGACTGTATGTGCAAACTTATTTTTATGTTTATATAGCTGTATATGCACGTCACATACACTTTTATAAATTGGCTATCTATTCAAATTTATATATGTAAAAATTAATGTCATTTTTTAATTCCCTGGGAATAATTGATGTGTGTATAAGAAGCATGTTCAACCTGGAAATGGTGTCAATTAAGTTTCAATTAAGTTTATTTATATAACGCCAATCACAACACATGTAATCTCAAGGCACTTTACAATTCAACCAATCGTTGAATTTTCCCAGTAGGTTAATGGTATTTATGCTGGAAATGGGCAAGAAATTAATGACATTTGATGCCTAAATATTCTATTTATCTAAAAGAAAAAACTTTTACCCTAAAGACTGGAAAAAGATTCACACAACAACTCAATTTTTTTTACCGTATTTTCACAACCATAAGGCGCACCGTACTAAAAGGCGCACTCTCAGTTATGTGTCCCATTTCTGTATTTAACACTCACATAAGGCGCACCGGACTATAGGGCGCGTTTTTTATATACAGGTACATGTCCTCTACTACGTTTAAATACCTCTACTGCGTATTTAAAAATACAGCGGGGGCAAAACTGAGTATGTTTGTGCTTTATTCATGTATTTATTACAAAGTATTAATCAAACCTGGGAGCTGGTCGTGAGACAGACACATCGCAGATGACAGAGCACTGTGATGACTCCTAAATTAACTTAAAATCCTGAAACCTGCCGACAGAATATGTTCGCTTTTATTACCGGTATCCTGGTGCCTGCAGTTTAAATTATTTAGATGAAAAACACCTGCCAGCGACCGCGGTGAACCCACAGGCTGCCCGTCCTAGAGGCTGCTGATGAAGGGATTGGCGGCGCGCTCCCGACGCACTGCGCCTGCTGCTCAAAATGCGCTGCGGGACCTTTTGCTGCGTCTATACGCTCGTCAACCGTTGACTTTGCATGTAAACTCGCTGCTTCTGCTGCACCTGCTGCGTCCGGTTCACAGCGAGCACAGCATTAATTTGTTTCACCATGTTTTTCACATCAGCTGTGAGATGGGCAGGCATGGAGTCAGATTAACAGCGATGGTGATGAGTGGAAAAAAAACCACCTGGTCTCCTTACATTCACCTCCCTCAGCCACTCTTTCATCATCTCCTCAATGAGGTGGTCTCAAAAGTCGCAGTAGCATCCAGAATTTACTCGAAACGAAGTCATTTAGAATGTTTTTAGAGCCTAAACAGTAGTGTATAGGATTTCCTGAAAGCGCGCACATGCGCGTTCACGAGCCTACGGAAGCCGGCAGACCAAACCAGCGCATTCAGCTCTGCAAAGAACTCATGCTCTTCCTCAACACTGAAGTCCTCAGACATTTTTCTTTCGTTGTTTCTTTCTTTGCACAGGTAAACAGCACATTTCTTCTTCTACGCTTGCATTATTGGCAGAGCAGACGCTGAATGCGCACTTTCATCTGGTTTGGTCTGCCGGCTTCCGTAGGCTCGTGAACGCACATGTGCGCGCTTTCAGGAAATCCTATACACTACTGTTTATGCTCTAAAAACATTCTAAATGACTTCGTTTTGAGTAAATTCTGGATGCTACCCACTCAGGACACTTGGAATACATTGGACGAGCAGTATGGAGGAATATTGACACATTTTTTGTGGACTTTTATGGACCTTTCTGTCTCGGACACCATAGACCTCCATTATTTGAAATTCAGCAGACAGCAAGAAGCCTCCCAGATCTCCAGATGCATTTGAGATATCAAAAAAGTACTCCAGAGTGTTGTTCAGCATGGGGGTGAGTAGAAAATGAAGGCTAATCATGTTTTGGGTGTACTATTCCTTTAAGGGAACACAAAGGGAGGCATAAGTCAGGTGTCGTTTTTCCATCACCTCAACCGGCAGAAACAACCTGTTGACATTAGCGTCCTCAAACAACGCGACATGTCATGAAGAAATGGTTGGACTCTTTCCTTTTCCCAAAGTTTGGGAGGAGAAAAGAAGCTCACTTGTTTACCTGGTGACCAACTAGAGTTCACTGTGACTAAGCAGAGCTCATTAGCGTAAACTGTTAAGCATCTTGCATTGTTAATAGAATGTTGTGAAAGCTGCGATTCTAAACATCGAACCAGCAGATTTAACAGAAAAATGGTTCAGTGACCTGAAATTTAGCAGATGGCTCTGCAGGAATCTAGCCTGGGTGCCATTCCGAACTTAGTCCCGCCCACAATGTTTGAGGTCGGGAAGTTCGGTCTGGCATTGCTCCATAGTAGCGCGAGTATGCTCGCACAATATCTGGCAGGCCAATCAAATTGTCAGGGCGGGCTTTATACGATGATGGACAGATGATCAACAGTAACGTAATCAACCATGTGACCAAAGCGCGCTTGGGTGACAACAACAATGGCTGCCGCTGGAGAGTTGAGGTGAGTAGATTCTGCTATTAGGTCTGTTCTAGAAGATATCGACAGCAAATTAATTTTAAAAGAGGAACAGAGAAACGCGATCAAGGCTCATCTTCTTATTCTAGGCGTGCAACTGCACGCTTTGATTTTTGTTGACAACAACTATGCGTCGCTTAACATACGTCACGCACTCCGTTGCTCTTATTGGTTGTAGGTCTATCCAATTGAGTGCAGAGGCATTTTTTTTCCTGGTTCATTCGAAACACGCCCCATAATCACAGCTCTATGGAGCAGCATCAGACTCATATTCTGACTAGAATTGAGTAGGACTACGTCAGGCTAGCAGGAATCAGTGTTGCTAGCATGTTTTTTACTACATGAAAAAAACTCATTTTGTAAACAATTAATATTTATCTTAATTTTTTTGTTGTAATTTAACAGACTACTTTTGGAGTATACTACATAAATGAATACAATCAGTAAAATTTTCACAAAATCACGTTGGGTTATCCTAGCGGCACCTACCACTGGGTTTGGCCTGTTTTCTAGGTCAGAGGTCTTCAACGGGGGTCAGCATTCACCAAGTGAATGTCTTTAAATCCACATTAACATGAAGATAAATGGAGGCAGAAGATGTCTTTCAGTCATCAAGGCACACATTCAGCGACACACAGGAGCTCTTTCAAACTGGGCACCGTTTCATTCACAACACCTGTCCATCAACCAGTAATCAGAATCAAAAATACTTTAATAATCCCAGGGAGAAATTACTTTAGTTACATTACTCCATCTGTAATAGAGTGACTATAGGACCAGTTGGATATAACACAATTTCATATGGGGTCCCGCTCCATCTCGCCATCAGTTTGAAAACTTTGGAAAACTTTGAAGAGTTCTAGGGCAAACCCTGCCAACCATGTAGTACTATTTAAAGTCGGATGACTTGACCAAAACACTTAGAAGAAGAGTAGAACTTTATTGTCATTACATTCTCACAATTAAATTCACTCTCTGCATTTAACCAATCCCTTTGGGGAGCCCACAGCTCCCCAAAGGGTGGGCAAAGTCCGAGTTAAGGGTCTTGCTCAGGGACGCAGAGTGGCAGTCCATGGGAGAGGGACTTGAACTCAGAACCTCTGGGATCCTAGCGCAATGCTCTCACCACTAGGCCACCACTCCTCTTACCATTCACTCATTCAGCCATTTACACACATAGTAAGATATATTGTTGCAACAGCTTCCCTCTGGAAGAACAATCAGCAAATGTTGGTGACGACATTGAAAGCCAGAGCTTGAACCTATAACCCACCAGTCACAGTGCAAAATCCTGCATCTGTCGCCATCATTGATATAAGCATCATTACTGGCCCAAATTTACTTTTATATAATTATGGCTCTTAGTTGGCAGGGAAACACTGTTACAAACCAAAGTAAAGTAACAAAGAGAGCTGAAACAGGTGGAAATGATGAAAAGTTAAAAGTTCAACCAGAAGATGAGTAAATGTTGCAAACATTAAAATGCCATAAACCAATCTGGTGTTGCACAATAACTAACTCCCTCACCCGACAAAGTGAGGAGTCATGTAAACTGAGTCCTACTGAGGTTTAAGAGTTACTGACATAAATTCTGCAATGGTACCCTCTTGGAGATATGCATACTTTAAATAGCTGTATTTAGCTCACCATTTTGCGCTTCTTCTTCAGATGTTTCCTCTTCCTCTTCCCCTGTGTGTGCGCTAGACGCGGATTGTTCTCCTGGTCGGATGACTGGTGCAGGTGGTGGTTGTTCGGACAAGACTCCAGATTTAAGCCATTGGGGAGTTTGGGAGGTTTCTTCTTGTGCAGAGGCCCAGCCTGGCTGTTTCTGCTCTCCTGGGGCATCAATGTCATGCTCTTCTAAAGAAGAAAATAAGACAAGAGAGCAAAGTTGAAAAACACCTTTGATTTTCTATAACAGTAGCATCTTTGAAAGCATGTATCCGTCATATAAATGGCCTTTGAAAGCTCTGCAATCATTTGGTGTTTGTATTTTTCCTGTCTTAGACAAACTTGTTTCTTCCCCGACTTGGCAGAAAGAAGAGACATCATAAAAAAAACACACTTGACATAAAACCAATCTCTCCAATAAGTGTCAGAAAATAAATGTATAGTTCAGGAAGTCAAGGAGGGACAAACGTCTTTTTTTCCCCTCATCAGTTACACAAAGACAGAAACCAGATGAGACTCCAGCTGCATTCAAACCAGACTAAACAGGGAAACCTGATTCCAAAGATGCACAAGGGATTCCCAGGAACATAGCGCAGCTTGTTTAGCCACGAATGGGCAGCGGATCAATTGATGTCTCACTATAGCTCTCCACACTCACAAGAAAGAAAACGACTGTTGCAGAGAAATGGCCAGCTTTCAGATTGATCAGCCAAAGTAAAGTCCAATATTTTTCTAAGAAATGAACACACCGTACCCACAGTAACGGGTCCTGCTAACTATCCTCTTCAGTATAAAGATATATATTTTCTGTGAATACTTTATTTGCTTTTGGTTTAACTGCTTAAATATCAATTATTTAAGGTATAGTTAAGGAATATTGAACAATACTACTGTAATTACCAATGTGGTACCTTAGAAAAAATGAGTGTAATGATTTAAAGAAAATCTTCTCTGACATTTTTTCCTACAGTAACCATCCAGAGTTCTTGCTGGCAGTGTTCTTGGCTTCAGAGGGAAGTTCACACATACTCTGGTGGTCTAGCAGGTAATGCCAGCATGTAAAGCCGAAGGCTGACAGGCTTCACAACAGAGTGCCTAAATGAAGCTCTGACAGTGGGAACTCTTTGCCACTTGCTCACTCTTTTTTATTAGCACAGATGGTGAGGAAACACTGTAGGGAATCTTTGTTCTTTCTAAGCTGCGAGTAAGAAATATAAAATCAGTGCTCTGTAGAAGCTGAAGCTGTTTAGGGGCCAAGGTTTTGCCTTAACAAACTCACGATAAAGTCTGCATGACTCCCCTTCATATGCAAACTAACATACAGCACCAGTCATTCAATATGGCCCTTCCCAGTCAAACGCCAGTCAAATGGCAGCCTACTTCCCTCCAACTCCCAGCAAAAATCCCCTCCAACTTCCAGCCACTGGAGTGACCCCCTCCTTCTCCTGGATGCTTTTTTTTTATTCTGACTCCACCCTTCCACTGACCTACAAGGTCTGACTAGAAGAAGAATTGTAGATAAATTGCGATAATATTGCAAATGCAGCTAATTGCCCGGCCCTTATTCAGAGGTGCTGGAACAAAAGCAGAAGTAGGACATCTGCACCCCTGCTCTTTTTATGGAGACATAGTTGAACTCAATTTTGCTCCCCCGTACTTTGGCAATAAAATCTGATTGATCCATTAATGCTTAACCTTCTTCATTAACTAACCTGGAAAAAGTTAGTTGTACCACCTTTATTCTTCTCTGAGTTAATTCAGTTCTAATTTCCCCTTTACCTCATGCTCTGCTGATCATCTCAGTCTGATATTTCTAGTCAGGCAGGCAGACATGATGAGCTCTGATTCAGCTCGATTCGTTCCTGTATCTCTCACTCCCTGAAATACAAGGTAAAATACAACTTCTGCACAATTGGTTTACAAGCCGCTCCAACTTCCCAGTAGGTCGCACTGACTGTAAATCCTTTAAGGAGCTTATTAAAGAAGAATATAGTCTAGAATATTAAGAATATAGTCAAGAAACTTAACAGAAAAAAAAATATTTTTTTGTTTTTTTAAACATCAAACTGTGGATTTTGCAATTAAAAATATGGTATTTTAACCTGCTAAGCCAACATGTAATGGAAATACAGACATCTTTCTTTCATGGTCTTCATTTTAACTATCTATTTACAACAGAAAAAGCTGTCTGATGCTGAATGTACATGCATACAACAGTACAAACGGCTAAATAACACATTGAGTAATAAGCACACATAATGCATGTTAGATTTACTGTACATTCAGACATTCAGAGACTAACCGGCTCTGATAAGAAATGTGCTCTGGTTAGGTTGATAGGTTTGATGGATTGTCAGACGCAGCAGTGTTCCTGTGTAGAGCACAGTGTGAGAGCAGAAGCATAAACAGACCGGACTAAATTTAGATCGCAGACCTCACAGTCACAGCATGAGTTGAATTTGATTCAGGCATCCACCAGTGGCCAGAAGATGTCAATAAGCTGATCAAACACTAGACAGACTGTTATCATCATGGACCAGCAGCACTGTGCATGCTCACTGACTTACCTGAAGGGCACTGCGGTAAGTTAAATGAAATATCCAGGAGCAGAACTAGGAGCCGCCTGCCATTGAGTGTCACCTACAGCCACAATATTGTTCTGTTGTTCAACTCATCAGAATTAATCAAGCCAGATATAGAGCGCTTTACACACGCTGAATAAAAACGTTTATTATAGAACCAAACAGTAAAATATGTGGAACATTTGTTAGATTAGCAATGAAAACTGCAGCTATAGTAAAGATCATAAAGTAAAACCATAAAAAGACAGGATTACCGGTAGTCAAAACACCCTCATGTTCCTGCTCAAATGGAAAAGATGAATTTAAAGGAGGAAAGTGCCTTGAGATGACATGTGGTGTGGCTCTATATAGGTTAACTGAACAGAGCTCACAGTACTAGTCCCATAGGAACCCCAGGTTACCATTTGAAGATCCAAAAATCAAAGCCAGAATCATAAAAGTAAGATTTTATTTAAAGACACTGCATATCTCTATAAAGATTCAGTTGGAGCCTAGTTGGAACGTTAAGATATGTTCACTGAGACATGGTTTTAAAACAGGTTTACCATCACTAAATGAACAACTAAAGCCCAGACCAATTGCTTCTATTAATAAACTCTACAGATGGATGTTATTATAGTTCTGCCAACATGTCTCAGCAAAACATCAACAATCTACTGCATATTTGTTGCATTCCTCCTCATGGTTAATGGCTGTACTTTGTTTAAAGTTGACAGTAATTAGCACTAAAGTTAATGTAATATCTCAGACCAGGAGAGTAACTAACCCCATCATTATCAATACGGTTACAATAGTGTCTCTACATGCAGTCAGGAATCCAGTTTGTGTGGTCTGTTTTTGTGTTTCCTTTCCTCCTCCACCAGGTGGTGCCCCGTCCTCATTGGGCCTCCCTGCACACCTGCAGCTCGTTGCCTCATTACCTGTGGAGTACTCTTAAGCTGCTGACTGCCACTACCTCGAGGCCAGAGTGTTTGCCAATAAAGGGTACTCTTGCCATGCTTAGTTAAGCAGAGTCTAACCTGAGTCTTTGTTTGCCTATACAGGGTATGCTTGCCATGCTGAGTTTGCTGAGTTAAACTGAGTTTTTGTCAACCTGAGTCTTAACTTTGTTTTTATCTTTTCCTCGAGGCCAGAGTGTTTGCCAATACAGGGCACTCAAGCCATGCTTAGTTTAGCAGAGTCTAACCTGAGTCTTTGTTTTGCCAATACTGGGCACTCAAGCCATGCTTAATTTAGCAGAGTCTAACCTGTTTCTTTGTTTGCCTATACAGGGTACTCTTGCCATGATTAGTTCAGCAGAGTCTAACCTGAGTTTTTCTTCTGCCAATACTGGGCACTCAAGCCATGCTCAGTTAAACAGAGTCTAACCTGAGTCTTTGTTTGCCTATAACGAGTACTCTTGCCATGCTTAGCTTAGCAGAGTCTAACCTGAGTTTTTTGTTTGCCAGTTTTGGGTTCTCTAGTCAAGCTGAGTTTGCTGAGTCAAACTGGATCAACTGAGCTTCTAACTGAGCTGGGGTTCCTTTAACTAAATCAAACCTTTAACTAAATCATGACACATCCCTCTGTAGCGACTTGGAGCCAATTTAGATGCAAACTAAATATTTGGTAATTTATTCTTATCTACATGTAATTCAATTCCATTTAGTTTCTTTATTTAGACTCAATTCACAACATGCCATACTCATATATATATGAGTATAAGTATCAGACGGGATTCCTATTTGATATAATAGAAAACTCTGCTGTGCTAATCAAGTAATAATACTGTATTTATAAGAGTGTCCAACTTTAGATTAACTCATAAATTGATAACTTGGCTCTAGGGAATATATGTATATACAAGTATATATATGATTTCTGCTGATATCCATATTTGTACTGATCAATACCCGTGTTTTATCTGCAATAAAACGGTATTGTAAAATCCTTACTTGTGTCACTGTGTCACTGGCAAATAATCTATCACCTACGACATTAACACCAACTAACCAGTCAGACACTAAAAGCATTCTACGTCCAGATTCCTCTGAAGTTTCAGTGGATCAGGAATCTCGACATCTGGGCTCCTCCACAGAACCTCAACCTCTTTCCTCCATTTCCTCTGGTGAAGACAGAGAAATCCTCCATCTCGTACCACTGCTCCAACCACAAGAATGATGCCTCTCTACATGTTTGCATCACTCTCACTGCTATTGCTGCTGTCAGTTTAGCCGTCCATCACAGCCACACCCTGATCTTAATCCCACAGGGTGCCGCCTTTTCATTTCAATGATTAGATTTGGGCATAGTAAGGCTCTAGGAGGAGGGTGAGCTGTTCTTTAAGACGTCAAATGGGGCTTCTTGAAAAAGCAGTTTTATTTCAGTTTTGTCAACTCTAGCTTTGCTGACACTTTTCCAACTGTGTTTCCAAATGGAAAATGGAAAAGCAGATGGGCTGTGTCCTATCCAGTCCTACCTTTGGTCCAGACATTATACCAAACAGACTGAAGTGAGCTTCAGAGATGCCTGACGGGACATATAAGGAATTAAATCACAGTTAAGTTTCCGTTATACTCCACTGAGAATAAATCCTCCACAACTCGAAAACTCCCTGACAGACCACCCT